AGGGTCGCTATGGGTTGGAACGGACTCGAAGGCACTTAACAACAACAACAACAAAAAATGCTCTTTTCATATGCATTTTTTCTTTGCTTTCTTTCCTGTCTTTTTAATGACCATTTGCTTTCTTCCTGTATGATGCCACTCCACAAGTCTTTGGTCTTTAATCATGATTGTCTAATGCATCATTTGTTCTTGAGATGGTCTCTAAATTCAGGTGGGATGTGTTCAAGGTCATACTTTGTTGGCACTAGTGGGCTTGTTTTAATTATCTTCAGATTAAGTCTGGATCTGGATCTGAGCAATTGATGGTTGGTTCCACAGTCATTTACTGTCCTAGTTTTAGAATGATGATAATGAACTTTAACACAGTCTTTGTTTTGTGTATGTGAACAGAATCTTAATAATCATCGATTAAGTCCCTGGAACAAGGCACAACTAATCCCCAGCTCCTCCCCTCCCCCCACTATTAGATTAGTTAGATGGATTCCCTATTTCCTTATTATCCCAAAGCTATTATTAGAATGCTTTTACTTCTTTTTCCAATCCTCAGAAGTCTTGAAGAAAGTATTTTATGCTTTAATTCTAAACGATCATTTTGTATTATTCTAGAGTATGTCATTTTATTTCAAATCTTTTCTTATTTCATGTCACTCTCCATTATATGTTCTTAATAAACTATATACAGCTGGAGAATGCAATGGCTCTGTGGGATAAATGGATTGTGGACCATAGGGTTGGTGGTTCAGGCCACCAGCTGGCCTGTGAGGAAAATAGGAGACTTTCTGCTCCTACAAACAATTAGAGCCTTGCAAACCCTATGCAGGGTTGCTATGAGTGGGAATTGACTCCATGGCAATTAACAAGAAGAACATCAACAAGAATTGGTCCTTTTTAGGGTACCCCATGTAGCCATCATGATTTCTTCATTTTTTCATCAACATTTTTTTTTGATTGCTACTCAAAGGATTGATTGATTCTTTCTTCCATGGATTTAATTTCATTTCTGTGTCACTCTGGGTTATTTCTTTATTTGATTGTTAATCTTCTTTATTTTTAGTTACTGTTTGTATATGGTGTATAGCTCTGGTGTAGTACTGTAAGTTCATTGTTGGACTGGTATTTGCAAGTTTGGCAGTTCAAACTCACCAGGTGCTCTTTGGAAAGCCATACAGGGTTGCTATGAGTTGTAACTAACTCGGTTATACTTGACAAAACAACAACATTGAATTCCTGAATTTTTCCTGGGTTTATTCTGTGTTTTCCTTGATCATTAAGAAACCTATACATTAGTTTTTTGAATTGCTTGTCAGGCACACCTATTTTTAGTGTTTAACAATGATTCCTATCCTTTTGTTTACTCATTTGCCTGACTCATCAGGCAAATGAGTAAACAAAAGGATTCCTCATTTTTTTTCATGATTTTTTAAATTGTTTTTTCATGATTTTTAATTGACTCCTGTCTTGAAGACATGAGCGTGTTTTTAACATTTTTATATTTACTTCTCACTGCTTTTCTTTTTGACTTTTTGATATATGTGGAGCCTAACACGGTTCCTTTTCCTTTTACTTTATCTTTCTTTGTTTTGTTTTAATTGACATTGTGTTGTGATGTATTACCAAGAGTTTGAGCTGCTGGTTGACTTGGTGTACTATATTCTCACAGGATGGTTTGGTAATCACATACATACTATGCTATGTGTACATGATTTCTTTTAGAGGATTTCTTGGTATGTGAATTAGTCCTTTTTTTCTGATGTGTGCTACAGGTGTCAGGTAGTAAAGGTAATTTTTTTAATTCTTAAGGAATAATGTATCACTTTTGTGTTGCCACAAGCATCTGCCAAAACCCTGAATCACAGAAGGGGACACAGGTAGGAGAGGGTAGAACAGGGTACAGAGACCCACACATCTAGAAAGGAATCAACAGCATAGAGTGACAAAGTTATACTCAGCTGTGGAGAAGGATGGCTGGAAAGGGTATCAAATCTTGCTCAGATAGGGGGTGTAGGCAAGAGAGGGCACAGAGTCCTACTCAGTCTCACATGGTATTGGCTTGTCAGCGCACAGAGTTAGTTCAGCTTGGAGCGGTCTATGAGTAAAAGTTGGAAGGGTCAGAGGTCCACATCTAAGGGGCAAAACTGAGTATACTCGGGTTTACACAGAAGGTCACCTCCTCAGTGAGGGCAGTGGGTGTGGCTGGTTTTGTGCCCTTCAGCGCAGACATCTTGGGCCTCAGGTAGGGAGAAGAGGATGTGGTCAGGCTTTTGTTTCATGATTCAGTCACTTGGACCTCAGGACACACTCTAATCATCATGATAGGTGCATCTGTCAAGGGAGGCAAGAAAAGGGTAGCCTGCAGGGACAGGACACTCTGTCTACATAGGTGCCATTCTTTGAAGAGGAACTGATTGTAATTCTTTGGGTTAACTCCTTGCTGGTTACTCTCAAATACATGGCCAGTTGCCTCCACCACCAAGCAGTTCATGCACTAATTCATAGCTCCCTCCCAGCTTGTATTCATCAAAGGGCTGGGAAATTCACCAGTCCCTCTGTTTCTCCTCTTTATAACACTGCATATGTGTACTCCCTGTTTTACACTTTGTCCTTCTGTAAGGCTCCAATGATGCATTCTGCATCATAAAGCAGAGAGGCAATTCCCTATGGTTCCCTCATTTCAAAACTATAGCACTCTCAAACTTTCCCATCTCATGGGTGCCCCATCCCTAGTCTTGTGTCCCCCAACTTGTCATTTCTTTCTGGGTTGTTTGCACCAAATCTCTGACACAAGATGGGCTCTCCCTGCAGTTGCTTCATTGACTTCATCACTTCAAGGTTTTGTTCCGTGATGTCTCCAAATGACCACACTGCTCTGCATTGAAAGGCACGGTGTGGTTGCTCTGTGAGTCTCTGGTTTCCTGTTGGCCTGACCCAGTTCTGCCACTCCTTTCTTTCAGTGCTCAGAGTGTTTCTTTAACACTCTGAGGTTCCAGGATCTGAAGTTGTTTTCTTGTCTTTGTTTTACTTAGTTTCTCTAGTGTTTGTTGTCAAGGAGTCATTAACTGTGCATGTGTCCAACGCCTAAGGTGCCATATAAAAACTTTAGAAAAAAGTTGTTTTAAAATGCAGGTCCCTTATACTTTTAAAAATAAATTTCCCCTTCAGTTTCTTACCTCTGTGCACATTGCCTTCATTTCCTCTCCCCTCCCCATAGTATTCCAGGCTTGGGTCTTTAAAGGATACAGAAGGCAAATGGCAGTCTGTCCTTTGCTTTCGAGTTAGAACTTTGGAGATTACTTTATTAAATGAAGCAGAGGTAATCAATCTATCCAGACCCTCAGTGCAGTGTTGTATTTGATATTCTAGGGTCTCTTGAGTTTACTTGCTCAATAGAAGTGTATTCAAACTTTGATTAGACTTTAGGAATGAAAGAAGAAACATTTAAAAAGCCATACCCAAATTGGTTGGGAGCACTTGCAGAAATCTCCCCACTCATGTTGTGCAGAGAAAGGGGCCACATTTGGGACCACAGCAGCAAGTTTCCTTTCACCTTCCTTTTCAGTTTAGCTTTGAAGCATCTATTCTGATGCCTTGAGGCAATTTCCAAAGAAAAAGCCTTTCTTTAAAACTGATTACGCCTTACATATTCATTCTATTTGACACAGTCAATTCATACCACAGGTATTTGTGGAACTTGGTTCTGTGCCAAGGCGTAAGGGATACAAAGATAGACGGCATCTGTACTATGGGAAATCTTCAGTCCAGGGCACTAGGGAGGAGAAGGAGAGAAAGATGGCGGCACAAGAAGCTGTCTCTTGCATATCTAATCCTGTACATGGAGTTGGTCTGTGAGGTAACAGACACAATCTTGACAGAATGGATCCCTGACTGTTATTGCTGTGACTACCACTTTTTCTCTGCTCTTTGTCCACAGGTGCTATCATGGGATTAGAATAGGTAAACCAATGTTTCTGTATCCAACCTGTGGAGGCTGTTTCTGGCTTGAGAAATTCAACGCCCAAATCGGGATTTCTACTATTACCTGAAAACTGGGGCCTATCTTAACACACACAAAGGAAAACCCAAAAAACATTGGGCTGTAATCTGAGATGTGACTATCTCTCTAGAGGGTGGAGTTCATGCTTCAGTCCTTCATAGGATTTTCTTCCAAGGATGCTAGACTTTCCGTATTCATCATACTTCAGTGTTCTTTTCATTCATCTGCCCTGCCTTAGTATGCATACTGAATCATGACACACGCAATGCTTAAAATGTGCACATTGAACTAAAGGAACTACTTTTATCATTAGCACAATGGCTTGTTCATCAGAGGACCTCAACGTGCATCTGATCAGTAGAACCACATAACTCATTAAAGTAGAGCTCACCATGGGACTGTCATTTCTTATGCATGCCAGGTTCTAAATACAATGAAATACAATATATTCTAAGTTGAGGAAAAACACCTGTTTTATTCTGCCAGAACTCTGCAAGAAAACACACCAGTGCTGATCCAAGATTTTTTAGTCACATTCATTATGAAAGGAAACCTCTCTTCCTTTTCTATGGGAACATCTCTACATTTTTCCCCCATGTAGTGCATTCATTTTGTCATGGGGTGAACACCTGTGTGACTATTTGAAAGCCACAACTTCAGGTGTGTGCATGTGAGTGTCTCTCTCTATTCTTCTAACTGATTTCACAGCAGGCCAGGTTCGAAAATGCCTCCAAACTGAATATAAAAAAAGGTCTTAAAAGATTTTTATAAATATACCCATTATAAGTACATACAGTGATAATATTGCTGCCAAATTACACATGCAGGTTTCAGATAAGATCATTTTATTTTTATGCTTATTTGAAAACATTTTGGCATCTCTTGAAATTCAGACGAAAGTTTGTCATAAGAAGAAAATTTCAGAAGACCCGGTAAACTTGAAAATTCTGGAAAATAGTGCCTTATGAAATATTTGAAAATATTTTTAATAATATGAAGATTGAGTTACCTTTTACTTTGTCTCAAGCTCTCCATTCCTTTTTTCCAGGAGATTGTTGCCCTGGGAAAAGCATTGGGCTTGCATTCAATTGCAATATCCCCACCAACTTGAACAACTGAATTTCTTTTAATAGGATTTTTGGAGAAATTGGGAGCTGAAGCTAAAAGCAAAGTTAAAAACAAAATTGTAAAATTAGTCACACAATTAACACTTACTGACCCAAAAGGTAGCTTTTTATAGACCAGATTGAATCCATTGTTGTATCTGCAATTATTTTACAAGCTACTTTACACAAGGAGTCTGGTTCCAATTATCAACTTAATGTTTTGGAGCCTTTGGTTACATTTGCAAAATGAAGATGACAATAGACATTTCTTAGAAAGTTAGTGTGAGGATTAAATGAGATAACATTGCAAAATACTAGCATAGTGTCTGGAATTACATATGTGATCATTAAATATAATGTAATTTTTAGGCTATTGGTTACAGTCATTATAATACAAAAAACACAAATGAGAAATAAGAAACAAGAAAAAAATGAACTCTTGTAATATTTACAATAAAAAAAAGTGAAGATGAGTCCATAAAAGAAAAAAAAGAGCAAATTTTAATTCTGATTAGGAAAATCCATTACTTGATTCCAACAAAGATGATGATCCTAAATATGAATATATATGAGGGTAGTAAAATACCAGTGGAGTAAATCAGAAATGTATGTCATTAAGTCAGATTTCTTTATCCTATGCTTTGAAGTTGTTGTTCATTCTGACTCACAGTGACCCTGTAGAGGGTTTCCAAGGAGTACCTAATGGGTGTGAACCTCTAAAGTTATGGTCAGGAAGTTAGCAATCCATTGCTAATCATACATTACCATACCAGGTGTCAACATCCAAATGGCCTGACTTCTACAGGAGTATACACATTTGGAGTAGGGAACATACAAACAACAACAAAACACAGAACACACACACACAGCTTTGTCAAATTCAACTTTGTCTGCATTAAATATATGTTGAGCAAACGCCACATTTTGAGAATATGTGAAATTATCAAATTCCCTGGAGTATATTTATTGTCTTTCCCACTGTATGTCTGTTCTATTTCAAATGTCTAATCCCAGTCAAAGGTCTGATTACACTGGAATTCTTTGAGATACACCATTTTGTTCCTAGGCCTTTTAGGTATTCTTTGTCTACCCATTATCTAAATAGTGTATCCTCATTCTTCTCATCTCAGTTAAAAGGAAGGTAACCAGTTTAGGTTACTTTAAAACTTGATGAGTGTTCTGATCTTGTTGCTGTGGTTAAGTGCCTTTGAGTTGGCTCTGACTCATAGTGACTCTGTATAGGGTTTCTGAGGAGTGGCTGGTGATTTTGAACCACCAACCTTGAGATCCAGCACTTATGCTACAGTGCCACACAGGACCACTACAAAATTATTGAAGATCATTTTACTATATTTACCATCTTTAAAGTATTGTCTTTTCTTCAGTGAAATTAAAAGTTCTATAAAGATAACCAGGAGCTATGGCATCTAATAAGTGATGCTTTGGCCTGTTAAGTACAGGGTTGTGTATTCAAATTCACCAGCTGCTCCTTCAGAGAAAAATGATGCTTTCTGCTCCATAGCCTTAGAGGTACTATACAGGGTCACTATGACTTGGAACCTATTCAAAAGCACATAACAAAAACAATGAAGATAAGCACCAGTTTACATTTGATAATTAAATTTTAAGTTCTTGTTACATGTTGGAGTTCAACAAATAGTAGTGATGAAAGAATGTCTATCATACATAAATTCCAAATATTGTCTCTTGCTGTTTTCTTACATTCATCTCATAATTTCTTTGTAACCCTAAAAGAGATACCACTGATTCATGATCCAAAAATTTTAGACTGAATCTGTTTTTACCTTGCACTCTGGTAGCGTAGTGGTCACGAATCAGGCTGCAAACCTTAAGGTCAGCAGTTCGAAACTACCAGCTGTTCCATGGGAGAAAGATGAGGCTTTCTGTTCCTGTAAAAATTTACAGCCTCAGAAACCCTGTGCAGGGTCGCTATGGGTCGGAACCGACTTGACGGCAATTAACGACAACAACAATTATTGCAGTTAGATGCATTTGAGTTGGTTCCAACTCATAGTGACTCTGTGCACAACAGGATCCAGCATTGTGCTATCCTTCTCATTGTTGTTATGTTGAGCCCATTGATGCTGCCCCTGTGTAAATCCATCTCATTGAGGCTGTTCCTCTTTTTCATCGACTTTACTTCTCCAGGGACAGTCCTTCCTGACAGCATTTCCAAAGTATAAGAGATGAAGTCTCAACATCCTTGTTTCTAAGGAGTATCCTGAGTATATTTCTTGCAAGACAGGTCTGCTTGTCTGGCAGTCCATGGTACTTTCAGTATTCTTTGCCAAAACTACAATTCAAATGCACTGATTATTCTATTGTCTTCCTTATTGATTTTACTACTATTGAAGATGAAGGAGTTTTGATAGCATAGTGAATTTGTGAGTTGAACTCCTAGAGACAAGGTCAGAGATTTGAATCTATCAGCTGCTCTGTGAGAAAAACATGAGGCTTTCTACTCCCATAACGATTTTCAGCCTCAGAAACCCTACGCAGTGTTGTATGGCTTGGAACGGACTCCACTGCACATAATCACCAGCCAGGAGAGAAGTAGGTCCTTTGGACCCTGAGAACCCTGCACATTGATCTTCCTTGATGCAGGGACAAAGAACTGTGGAATCAGAGGGATAGCAGATGAGTGACAGAGGAACACTAGGAGCAGAACCAAGAATAAGAACATTAGAACAAGTGGTGGACTTCCTAGGACGGGGAACAGGAAAAGTTGAATGTCTTTGGACAAATGTTTTCAAATTATCTGCTGCAAAATGTTACTTGCATGTGACATTAATGATATTGTTCAGTGACTTCAGCATTACGTTGGGTCAGCTTCCCTAGGAATGGGCACAAATACGGATCTCTTCCAGTCATTTGGCCAAGTAGCTGTCTTCCAAATTTCTTGGTATTGATGAGTGAGTACCTCCAGACTACACCAGTTTTTTTTTTTTTTTTTTTTTAAACATTTCTGTTTGTATTCTATCAATTCCTGGAGCCTTGTTTTTCACCACAATATCTTCAGTGCACCCTGGACTTCCTTCAATAGAATCAGTTCTTGATCATATGATATGTCTTGAAAAGACTGAACGTTAATTCTTTTGGGTATATTGACTGTGTGTATTCCTTCCATCTGCTTTTGGTACTTTTTGAATCATGAAAAAACTTCTCTATTGTTGTTGTTGTCAGGTGCCATTGAGTTGGTACCAACTCATAGCAATCTTATGCACAGCAGAATGAAACATTGCCCGATCCCGGGCCAACCTCACTACTGTTGACACGCTTGAATCCATTTATGATGCAACTTGGCCAATCAATCTTGTTGGGGGTCTTCCTCTCTTTCTCTGTACCTTTAACTTACCAAACATGACATCCTTCTCCAGCGACTTGTCCCTCCTGACAATATATCTGAAGTATGAGAGACGAAGTTTGACCATCTTGATATTCAAGGAGCACTCTGGCTGCACTTCTTCCAAATCGGATCTGTTGGTTCTTTTGGCAGCCCATGACACTTTCAATATTCTCCTCCAACACCATAACTCAAAAGCATCAATTCTTCTATGGTTTTCCTTATTCACTGTCCAGCTTTCACATGCATATGAGGTTACTGAAAATACCATGGCTTGTCCATAGAATCCTTCAAAATAGCATCTTGAGACTTAAATGTTTTTCTTCAGCTCTTTCAGCTACATAAATACATAACGTGTTCTTCCCTTTTGATTTATAACTTAATGTCTTGGTACATTTCATGATCATATTTTGGCTCTCATGGATTTGTTTTAATTTTCTACAGTTTCATCATGACCTTGCATGTGAGCAATTGATGGTCTGATCCATAGTTGGCTCCTAGTTTTGTTTGGGCTGTTGATAGTTGAGTTTCTTCATGTCTCTTCCCACAAATGTGGTCCATTTCATTCCTATGTGTTCTACATAGCAAGTTCTGCACACACAGTTGTCATTTATGTTGTTGAAAAACATTATTTACAATGAATAAGTCATTCATCTTGCAGAATTTTATTATGTAATCTCCAGTATTGTTTCTATCACCAAGACCGTATTTTCCAACTCCTGATCCTTCCTTCATGTTTCTACCTTTCTGATCACCAGTAGTTACCAAAGAATCTTGAGTGAATGTTTGATCAATTTCAGACTGAAGAGGTTGGTAGAATTTTTCAATTTATTCATCATTCTTGTAGTGGTTGGTGCATAAATTTGAATAATAATCATACTAACTGGTCTTTCTTATAGTTATATGGTAATGTTCCTATCACAGACACCATTACATTTCAAGATTGATCTTTAAATGTTCTTTTTGATGAAGAATGTGACACCGTTTCTCTTCAATTTGTCATTCTTGGCATAGTTGTTGCTGTTGCTACTGTTTACCACTGAGTCGGTTCTGAATCATAGCGACCCTGTATAGGGTTTTAGAGGAGTGGCTAGTTGGTTTGAACCACCAAACCTTATGGTTCAAGCTGACATTGCGGTCCAATGCTTATGCCACAGCACCGCACCAGGACCCTATGAAATGTGAAATGGGCTGATATTTGGCCATTTTGAATTACACAATCATATGCTAAGATTGTCTGTGTTGTTGTTGTTAAGTGCTGTCTAGTGCATTCCAAATCATAGTGACTCTGTGCACAGCAGAATGAAACACTGGTTGCTTCTGTCATCCTCACAGTTGTTATGAGCCCATTGTTTCTGCCACTGTGTCAATGCATCTTGTTGGGGGGTCTTCCTCTTTTTTTGCTGATCCTCCACTTTACCAAGTCTGATGTCTTCCTCCAGATACTGATCCTTCCTGAACTCTTTAAACTGTCTGAAATGTGAGAGATGAAGTCTTGGCATCTGACTTCTATGGAGTATTCTGACTATTTATTCTTCTTGCAGTCCATTATACTTTAAATTTTCTTCTCTAACACCATTAATTCAAGGGCTCTTGGTATGGTACTGGACTGCTAACTACAAAGTTGGATGTCCAAGCCCACTAGCTGCTCCTTGGAAACCCTGTACAGGACTGGTTTGAGTCATAACTATCACTTAACAAGTAAGGTCTCTAGTCGTGTAGTGCTTATGAATCAGGCTTCTAACCTCAAGGTCAAGTTTGAAACTACCTGCCATTCCACAGGAGAAAGATGAGGCTTGCTGTTCCCATAAAGATTTACAACCTTGGAAACCCTGTACAAGGTTGCTATGAGTTGGAACCGATTCTATGGCACACCACCACCACCAAGGTCTTCCTTATGCATCCATATGTTTGTTGTTGTTGTTAAGTGCCATTGAGTTGTTAAGTTGTTGTTAAGTGCCATAGTGACCCTGTATAGGGTTTCCAAGGAGTGGCTGGTAAGCTTAAACTGTCAACCTTGCAATGTAAACGGCAGTGCCATCTGGCACATCAACCCACAGTGCCACATCAGGACTCCTCCATGCATACGAGCAGATGGAAAATAGTACGGTTTTGATCATATGCACCTTAGTCCTCAAACTCATATCATTGCTTTTTAACACTTTAAAGAAGTTTTCAGCAGATTTGCTTAATACAGTGCATCTTTAATTTTCTCAGACTCCCTTGTTCTCTAGGTTAACATTCAATGGAGTTCTTGGCAATGATACAAAAAAGACATTTCCTGTGTGGCTCAAGATTGGTTTTCTTTTCTAATGAAGCATAGATGAGGTCAGTTTATTTCCCTCTCGTCTTTTGCTTTTTATAGTATTGACTTCATGTTTGTATCTATACCAGAGATCATGAGAGCATTTTAGTACAAGTACAGTATGAAGCAAAGATTCAAAGAATACTATACTTAAGTGATAAACCAACATGTGACAGCCAGCCAACAATTCATGAACCTGCTGCTCAAAGTCAAGACAAATCTTGGGTTTTCATTTCATACGGAAGTGAGATTTTTTTTTTTTTCTCATGCGTTTTTATTTTCACCTGTATTTCTATTGGACATGTTTTGATTTGTACTCAAATCTCTTCTAGAATCAGTTCTTGATGAGCCTCTTCTGGTTTGGAAGCATCCAATTATGGCTCTTCCACAAACTCTAATAGATTACCAAAGGAGATTAAATATAACAATTAACGTCTTGGAAATTAGTCTGAGAAGAAACAAAACCAGAAATCCTATTAGAAGCAAGCATGGTGACACTTTGGTTCAGTTATTTTGGACATGTAATGAAGACCAATAGCTAGAAAAAGACATCATGTTTGGTGAAGAAGATGGTCAGAGCAATCAAGGGAAACTTTACATGTAAAAATTCACGCAGTAATCACAGTAATGTACTCACACATACCCGTAATCATGAAGACGGCACAAGACCAGATAGCATTTTTTCCCCCATAAATTCTCCATGAATCAGAGCAAACTTGATGACAGTTAACATTTTATAATAGACTAATTTATACTTTTACCCTTTGGTGCAAAGGAAATCAATTTCTAATTTACATAAACTTTAAAACCTTGGTTTAGGTTATACAGTACCATAGCTTGCTATAGCCATTTAAAATCTTCTGGTTATTATAAATAATGACTTACCTAATACTTTCAATTCTGCATTTGCATAAATTATCTGGTACTTGTTTTCTGCAGCACATTGGTAGACACCAGAATCTGACACATTCAGCATTGTTATGATTAATGTCCCATTGTCTATTTGAATTCTCTCCTGAAAAAGAAAAAGCCATGTAAAGATGTTAATATATTAATCTAGGGGAAAGACGGGTAACCTTTAAGGCTAGAACAATACTCTGGCATTAATTTAGCTAGAATGTGATGGTGGTGGTGGTGGTTGTATGCCAATGAGTTGGTTCTGACTCATCACAACCTAGTATAGGGATTCTGAGACTGTAAATCTTTACGGGAATAGAAAGCCTCATCTTTCTCCTATGAGGTGACTGGTAGATTTGAACTACTGACTTTGAGATTAGCAGACTGGCCCATAATCCACTACACTTACTAGGACACACCCATGACATGTGATGCTTTAATGTGTAAGAATTAAAGCTTGCAAAGTGAAACTACTTAATACACTACAAGACCCTCAGTAGCTTTTGAAGTTTTAAAAATGAAAATGTGCTTAATATAATGATACTGGTTAGTGCATTTGACTTTTTTTTTTTTTTTTTTTAATGACATTCTCTGCAAAGCAGAGATACGTTAATATACATAACTGTCTGTCATATGGTATATAAAATAATTTGGATCACTGTACCATTCCAATTATTCTAGAAAACATGGTTGGTTGAATAGTAATAGATGTGTATGCTATGATTAGAGTATTTCCTTGGGTTTCCATCTTAATGTCTCAAAATGACTTCAAATGTGGTGATATGATAATTCTCTAATTGAGTAACAAATTAAAGAAGCTGAATCCTTCCTTGCAAGTTAACAAATAAGTGTACTGAAACAGCCAGACTCTGTCATTTGGGGCAGTTACATTTGGGACATAATGAAATACCTTAGTAGCACAAATATACCTTAGAACTAAATATTTCAAGTTACCTATTACTAAGCACTGGATTGCCAACTTCACCATCATTGGTTCAAACTTGCCAGCCAATACTCTAAAACACTAACAGAGTTGCTATGCGACACAACCAACTTGTCAGTACTTAAGAACAAAAACATCAAAGATAGTCAGAGCCCTGGTGTGCTGCTATTGGATCAGCACTAGACTGCTAACCTTAAGCTGAGCATTTCAAACTCAGTAGCCACTCTCAGAAAGGCTGTACAGGATTGTTATACAGGGTTGTTATGAGTCAGAAATGACTCAATGGCATGCAATAATAACAAAGTTAGTAAAAATAAGTTGGAGAAAACAGAATATTAAATGCAAAAACACAAGCAGGAGGACATTTCCATAAACACTGAAATAAAGAGCAGCATTTAGTCAGCTTCCAAACAACAGATGTTCTTTGTGACTCTGGCTGTGCCTACATGTGTAAAGCAAAATGGAGAATTCACACAACTATGTGGATAATTTGTTGGGGAAAAACAACTTTGTCTTATGTTCAGAATATTGTGGAAATGGTGGTGGGTGGTGGTCTGGTGTCAAGTCAGGGACTACTCATAGCAACTCAGTATAGGGTTTCTAAGGTTGTAAATCCCTACAGGAACAGAAAGCTCCTATTGAAACAATATGCTTTTATACAGAAACAGGTTTTATACTGAAATAGCTTCCTGAATTGTTTACTTCCCATTGGATTTACAGACAGTCATCCGTTTCAAACAAGGTAGATGCTTGTGCATAATGATTGAGATCTTGGGTCTCGGAGTCAGACAGATCAAATTCATATGGAACTTTTAACTTTTGCTGGCTTCTGTGGGACCTCGGGCAAATGACTTAGAGTCTCAGTGGCACTTCATGTATGCAAGGAACAATAATACCATATAATACGGTTGTTGTTAGTATTGAATAAGGTAATGCATGAAAAAATATTTAATACAGTGTCCAGGTGACATAGAAGTACAATAAATGCTAGCTATAATGATGAGTCTCGGGCCCTGGTGGCATTGTGGGTTAGGTGTTGGGCTGCTAAGCACAAAGTCAAACCCCTCAGCCACACCGCAGCGAAAGATGAGGCTGTGTGCCGCACTAAAGACTTAGAGTTTCAGAAACCCTATGTAGGGTCATTAAGAGTTTGGAAGCCAATCATTGGCCATGGGACGATGATGTGTGCTGTGAGGAACTGATTTGAGAGCAAGAGATTAGGTTTTGAGTTTGGGAATAATGGTGATGATGGTGATAATGATATTTGAGTGTGGATGTATCACCCATTAATTGTATGTAGCTTTCACAAGTTATTTGAACTCTCTATACTTAGTTTTCTAATGAAAAAAACAAATCGGAATACTATTGATAAATATTTTGTGAGTCTATTTTAAAATTAAATAAATCCATGTATATAGAGTATACTCCATCGCCTAGCATGTACTAAGCACTCAAAAAACATCTGCTGTTACTCTTAGTAACAAAATTCACCTAGCAGAGTAGGTGAATATTTAATATTAACATAATTACTTACCTCTGGGTTGAGGGGATCACCATTCTTTAACCAAGTGTAACAAGGTTTTGGCTTTCCACTAGCCTTACATTCCCAAAACAAGCTGTCATATATAGACAAGTATGCATTTTGGATTTTTTGCTCCCATTCTGGAGGGGCTGTTTCAAAACAAGCAAGAGCAGCCATTTGTCAAGGCAATTTCCTAAGACATCACTCTATAATCAAAAGGATCTAGAAATCAGAAGGGCAAGGCTAACCGGAACCAGTTGTACTGCACAGCCAGGATTTGAGGGAAGGGAAATGCAGAAGCTTGGATTTGGGAAAACAAATATCCTGTTGCAAATATCAGTCGGCATTTGGTTCTAGTAAATATTTATATACTGTGCCATTATAACAACTTGAAAATTGTGGGGAAAGGTCAAGATGCAGACCACAGCCAGAGATTAATCCCATGCTTAACATTAGTAAGTAAATAGTTTAAATCTGCACCTTCTGTGCACAGTGATTCATTCATTATATGTATTTGGTCTAAAGTAGCTACAAGTAGATGTACCTATTTTGGACACAATTATAACTCAACAGCTTATAGGAAACATCAAATATGAACTTCATCACCTTTTGGTAGGATAATAACCCAATTAAATATGTTCCTAGCTGAAATGCTTGACAGGGAATCATAACTTTTTTAGTTGTGTGTAATTTTAGTACATAACTGTAAACCTGAGTATGCATTCTCAAAAATATTACTTTCTAACCTAAAAAGTTTCTACAACAGTAGTGAGGCAAACCAAAACAAATGGCATAATTGAAGCAAAAATGTTCATTAGGTGTACAATGCTATTATCCTTATTATCATTTGTGGAAACAGGTATAAATGAAATGTTTTAGTTATTCTGTTCCATAATTAGAACAGTAATAGTCTGAATAACTCAATTATTCCATATCCTTTATTTAGATCTTTCCCTGGACTTAGGAGTAGATGAATATTCTTTTGGTATGTTAGGCTGTTACAGGTTAATGTCTTAACTTGTACCTGTACTTAATGCTCCCTATGGTCTTTTGTAAGGAGCTCTGGTAGCGTAGTGGTTACGAATCGGGCTGCAAGACGCAAGGTCAGCAGTTCGAAACTACCAGCTGTTCCGTGGGAGAAAGATGAGGCTTTCTGCTCCCGTAAAGATTTACAGCCTCGCAAACCCTGTGCGGGGTCACTATGAGTCAGAACCGACTCCACGGCACATAACAACAACAACAATGGTCTTTTGTAGTGGATATTTTCAGAGATGTTAATTAATAACATAGTTGCAAAATTTGAATCTTGGAAGCAGCCCAAGGCAAATGTTGGTGTTCAGGATCTCTACTTGGTAATGCTGTCACAAAGGAAAGGTGTCAGAAAAGAAAGATAGTCAAAAGGGAAAAAAGAGCCGTTGAAAGGATACATTGTTGTGTGGGCCACTAGTATTCCATTGCCTGTGAAGCTCTAAATAGCCTTTATTAACTGTCTATTCAAGGAAAGGAGTCCTGGTGTGGCACTGTGTGTTAATGCACCAGACTGCAAAGCCATTTGAACTGCAAGGTTGGCAATTCAAGCTCACCAGCTGTTCCTCGGAAACGCTATACAGGGTTGCTATGGGTCAGAACCAGCTCAATGACTATTTAACAACAACAACAATTCAAGGAAAGAAAGGGGAAACATTTCTTCACTACTAATTATTTATGGTAATGTAGGAGTTTAGTAGACAATTGTTGGCTAATTCAGTATGTCTGAAGGGTATCGGATTAAGTGCTGAAGGGTAAAGACCACCTGGAGCAGGGAACAAGCTGTAGTTAGGGTGGCACCTGAGATAAGACTCATCAGGATACCCCTGCGAAGACTAGTGTTGGATTTGTCAGCGTCACAGTGGTTGGAGTAAAGCAGTGAGGCCAAGAACATTTTATGTTTTCACAGTAAGGAACTCAAGTTTATCAGACTTCCAGGATTTTTTCAATACAACATCTGCCTCCATTAAGATAGGAGAGTCCTTCAGGCAACCTGTCAGTCAGAAAATGGAATCAAGATGCCCCTGGTGGATGCAAACTAAACCTAGAATAGGACAGCTTCCAGTCACAAAACATGTTTTTCACAACCTTAAGGGACATATCAGGGCAAGACTCAGAAGAAAAGGTTGTATTTATAAAATTAAAACATTTCTGGGTATTAGTAATACAATCGTTTATTTACAGATACAAGCATAGCTTTAAAATATACCTGATTTGATGCTTAATGCAATAATGATAATTTTCAAGCATATGTATTTTTTATATAGTGAGCACTTTTGGATGCTTCGAGTTCTAGAGTAAAATTTTAGTTAAATCTTCAACTAAATGGAAAATACATGAGAGAAACAGATTAGGAATGTGAGGTCTAAACATACAGGCTTGGTTAGTAGGTTATTTCGCCGTTGATTGGTTGGGGAGAGTCAGTTAGTGCCTCTGAATATATTCCATTTTCATTAATAAGACTAGTACATTCTGTTATATTATACTCACACATAAGGACATAATAAGTTTGAATCAACTTGATAGGAACTAACATCAGCTACAATAGTGCTTCAGAGATTTCTTTGGGGGAAAATGTCATATTTAGAATAATATCTAATATTAGTTGCTTTTAAGTTATAACTTCAGCACAGCAATAAAACAAAGTTGAATATTATTTTCTCATATTCAGTATTATTTACTGATGAGTTCAATGAATCACTTACCTGCTTTATCTGAGTGGTATGAAAGGTGATCAAGAAACACAATGATTTTTTTATTGACTAATTATCCAGTCCGCTATAAGGACACATTGAACCTGCTAAGTGGCCGTGAAATAAATATGTTTGTTATGTTAAAGAGCTGTAGCAAGAGGGGAAAGAGCAGTTCCAGACATTTCAAGGTTCATATTTCAGATCCGAAAATTATTATCTATAAGCTCTTGCCATAATTTCACTGAAAGAGGTGTCTGCCTCTTAAAAGTATTGAAAGCATTTGATGAATTAGTATTTGTAAAATCTTATGTAAACAGTCTCTGTATAATTATGCAGGAAAGTGTTTCACTATTGATTTCAAGTTCATAGCTATATCCATATTTAGTTAGTCTCTTGGTTATAGCTATCTTGTGAATACAAAACTGGACAATCATCTCTTTAAAACTTCACAAGTCTTTAAAACATTAAAAGTTTCCATTTGTATTCCTAATATTTTATTTACAAAGAATGCTAGATTTCAGAGTCTTTTAAAGAACAAAACAGCAGGTGCTATTGAAAATACATATCTTTTTGGTTAGCATTCCTAAAACTGTAGGGAAATAATTAGTAGGAAATAATATTCTATATATAAAATACTAGTTCTTATTCCAAGCTAAAATTGGAAATTCTAAAGGAAACAGAATGTAATATCATCAAGGCACAATATGTTCTCCCAACAGAACTCTCACTCAGCATTCCTGCGAGGTAACTAACACCTCACATTTTTCTTGCTATATCTATTTTTTTTTTCCTCTGCAATCATTTTAATCATTGATTATTAACATGTCACGTATAAAAAATGTGACAATGAAAATTATTTTTGTCCACATATAAGTATGGTTTAAATCATTATCTAATATTGTCGTTAAGTGCTGTCAAGTCACTTCTGACCCATAGCGACCCTGTATAGGGTTTCTGAGGAGCAACTGGTGGGCTTGAACTGCTGACCTTGCAGTTCAAATGGCTATGTGGTCTGGCGCATTAGCCCACAGCACCACACTATAAATAATTCAACAGGAAACATAAGGGTTTTCATTTTTTAAATTATGGGGCATATACCATTATATTTATAACTATATAGAAATAATAGAGTAGGATATATGGTTGTTTTTTGTTTTTTTTTAAGTTCTGTTGAGTCCGTTCTGACCCATAGCAATCCTGTATATGGTTAGTTAGGAGTGGCTGATGAGATTGAACCGCCAACCTTGTGTCTCAAACTGACTTTGCAGTTCAGTGCATTAACCCACAGTGTCTCTTTCTTTCTCTCTCTCTGTCTCTCTGTCTCTCTCTCTCATATATATATATATATATATAATGTATGTATGTAGGTCGGCAGCTCAAACATACCAGCCTCTCCTTGGAAACCCTATACAGGGTCACTATGAGTAGAAACCTAGGGGACAACACTTAACAATGTGTGTATATGACTGGGCTTCAAAAAGTTGGTGGAAAAATACAATTAAAAGACAGTGAAGTCTTTTCAACTTTCTGAGGCCCTCTCATGTATGTGATCATTTCAAGTCAATATGCATTTAGCTTAGCCTGAATGAAATAAGACATGAAGATAACATTTAGGAGATATTCTGATAACTGAGGCGAACATCTATTTATAATAACATGATGATGTTTTCCTGTTTATATATATACATGTGGGTAGAATACCTTGAGAAATAGAAACAAATACTGCAAATCTCCACTTCACCACTATACTTTAATATTATTTTATTCTTCATTTGTAAATTCTATTCAGAATTATAATGAAAATTGCCATTGGCAGCTGCTGAATGATTTATAGGAAATATATTGGATTCTAAACTACCTTATTATAAACTTTTATGACTTTAACATGCCACTGCTGATATTTTCAAGGCAATTATAATAAACAATAGTGTGCATAGATTACTGAAATTAAAACTATAGTTTAAAGATGTTCATTCCTACCTGCTAATCATTATTTTGGACTCCTAGTGTGGAGGTGTAGGATCAGCACTGGACTGTGAACGACAAGGTTGGCAGTTCAAATCCAGGGTCGCTGAGTCAGACCCTACTCAGAATACTTAGCTACAACAATCATTATATTAAGCATCCTGACCTAAAAAAATGTCTTTCTGATTTCAACTATGTCACTGTTCCTAACATCATAATGAGTTTCATTACAATGAAAATCTCATGAAATATTTCATATACTTTTGATCAAAATCCATTAGCTTACCATAGAAGATGAGTTGACCCTTTGCAATGTTTCTTCCTCGAAGATTGCCTGCAGTGCACTCATAGAAGCCTTCATCTTCCTGTTGAAAGTTCGGGATTTCAAGGATAGCTTTGGATTTGCTGTACTTGACTTGCCCTGGCAATGGGCGTCCATCCAACCTCCTCCAACTAATATCAGGAACTGGACTAAACAGTTATAGTTCATTAGAATAGAAGATGACCTCATCATTATGAGAGCAGGAGAAAATAAGAGCATCCTCAAAATTAACTTTGAAGTAAAACAAATAAATCTATTGCTATACTATGACTAGTTTTCACATTTTGCAGTCATTCGCCATTCATTCATCCAGTCACTGATTTAACATTTTAGTAAGTGCTTGCCATGTGCAAGTCATTTCTTTATGTTCAGGGTATATACTAATGAATAAAATAGACACATTCCTTGCTTTTGTGGAGCTTACAGACTAGTGGAGAAATATATAATGTTATTTAAAAACACATAATTACAAATTGCAATAGCTGAAAGAAAGAAAATAGGGTACAGATACAATAACATAATTATAGCAGTATAAATATGGTGGTTGGGTATGTCTCTGGATTGAAATGCCTCTAAAGACTAAGTATCTCTTCATGTATCATAGAATCTAAGTCAAAAACATAGAATCTTTTGTAGCTATATTGATGTTAACAGGTCACTGATAACATATTTGATATGTTAGATTACCAAGAGGGATCATATGAGTTGAGACAATTAATACATTTTCAAAATAACACACTTAACTATACCTTCCCCAAAGTACATTAAAATAAAATATCAGTTTACAGTACAGCCTGTCTTGTCACAGAAAGGGCTTCTAAATGTATGTTCATTATTTATAGGAATTTAGTATAATCAAACAAGGTTAGATACTATATCGTTTAAAATACCAACACAATAGAATGAAACACTGTCAGGTCCTGTGGCAACTTCACATTCTTTGCTACATTTGGGCCCATTGCTGATGCCACTGTGCCAGTCCATCTCGTTGGTGTTTTCCTCTTTTTCTCTTACCCTCACTTTACCACATATGATATCCTTTTCCAGGGGTGGTTCCCTCTTGATAATATGTCCAAAGTTTGAAAGATAAAGTCTAGCGATCCTGGTTTACAAGCAGCACTCTGACTGTATTTCCACCAAAACAGATTTGTCTGTTCTTTGGCAGCTTATGGTATTTTTAATATTGTCTTCCAACACAGTAATTCAAATGCATCAATTCTTGTTGTTGTTAGATGCCATCGAGTCAGTACTGACTCATAGTGACCTTTGCACAGCAGAACGAAACAGTGCCCGATCCTGGGTCAACCTCACTACTGTTGCCACGCTTGAGTTAATCGATGCTGCCACTTGGCCAATGCATCTTATTGGGAGTCTTCCTCTTTTTCTCTGACCCTCCACCTTACCAAACATGATATCCTTCTCCAGCGACTGCTCCCTCCTGACAATATGTCTGAAGTATGAGAGATGAAGTTTGGCCATCTTGCTCTCCAAGGAGCACATTAGCTGCACTTCTTCCAAAATGGATCTGTTGGTTCTTTTGGCAGCCCATGGCACTTTCAATATTCTCCTCCAACACCATAATTCAAAAGCATCAATTCTTCTATGGTCTTCCTTATTCACTGTCCAGCTTTCGCATGCATATGAGGTTATTGGAAATACCATGGCTTGGGTCAGGGGCACCTTAGTCCTCAAGCTGACATCTTTGTTCTTCAACACTTTAAAAAGGTCTTGTGCAGCAGATTTGCGTAATGCAATACGTCATCTGATTTCTTGACTGCTGCTTCCATGAGTGTTAATAATTGATCCAAGAAGAATAAAGTCATTGACAACGTCAGTCTGCTCCGTTGGTAAGAATTTTGTTTATTGGTCCAGTGGTGAGGATTTTTGTTTTCTTTACATTGAGCTGTAATCCATATCGAAGGCTGTGCTTGTTGATCTTCATCAGTAAATGTTTTAAGTCCTCTTCACTCTCAGCGATCAAGGTTGTATCATCTGCATATTGCAGGTTGTTAATGAGTCTTCCTCCAATCCTGATGCCACATTTTTCTTCACAGAACCCAGCTTCTCAGATTATTTGCTCAGCATACAGGTTGAATAAGTATAGTGAAAGAATACAACCTTGTCGCACACCTTTCTTAATTTTAAACCATTCAGTGTTGCCTTGTTCTGTACGAACAACTGCCACTTGGTCCAGGTACACATTCCTCATAAGTACAATTAAGAGTTCTGGAATACTCATACTTCACAATGTTGTCCATAACTTGTCATTGTCCACACAATTGAAAGTCTTTGCGTAGTCAATAAAGCACAGCTAAACATCTTTCTGATATTCTCTGCTTTCAGCCAAGATCCATCGGACAATTCTTGTAAGATCTTCATAATTCACTGTCCAAATTTGACTAGCATATGAAGCTATTAAAAATATGATTGCTTGGGTCAGGTACAACAAAGTACTAAAACTGACATATTTGCTCTTGAGTACTTCAAAGAGGTTTTGTGGAGCAGATTTATCCAGTGCAATACTTCCTTTGATTTCTTCAGTGCTGCTTGCATAAGTGCTGATGGTTGATCCAAGCAAAATGAAGATTTTGACAACTTCAATCTTTTCTCCATTTATATATGGATGTTGTTTATTGATCCAGTTGGTGAGGATTTTTGTTTTCTTTACATTGAGGTGCAACCCCTAACGAAGGCTGTGGTCCATCCATATTTTAAGTCCTCTTTGCTTTCAGCAAGCAAGGTTGTATCATCTGCATATTGCAGATTGTTAATGAGTCTTCCTCCAATCTTGATGCCACATTTTTCTTCATATAATCCCACTTCTTGGATTATTTGCTCAGCATACAGATTGAATAAGTATGGTGAAAGAAAACAACCCTGGTGCACACATTTCCTAATTTTAAAACATTCGATGTTTGCCTATTCTATTTCAAAACTGGATCTTCATCTGTGTACAAGTTCCTCATGAGCACAATTCAGTGTTCCAGAATACTCTTTCTCAGCAACATTTGTCCATAGCTTGTCATGATGGACACAATTGAAAGTCTTTGTGTAGTCAATAAAGCAAAGGTGGTAAGCATCTTTCTGGTATTCTCTGCTTTCAGCCATGATCCATCTGACATCAGCAGTGATATCCCTTCTTCCAAATCCTCTTCTGAATTTGGCTTGAACCTCTGGAAGTTGCCTGTCAATGTATGGTTTCAGCTGTTTTTGAATTATCTTTAGCAAAATTTTACTTGCATGTGATATAAGTGATATTATCTAATGATTTGCACATTCCACAAGGCACAGTTATGGATCTATTCTAGTCACTTGGCCAGGTAGTTGTCCAAATTCTTTGACACAGATGAGTGAATGCCTACAGTGTAGAACAGTTCATTAAAAAATTTCAGTTCCCAGCACTTTTTTCTCTGCTAATGCCTTCATGCAGTGTGGACTTCTTCCTTTAGTATCATTGCCATTGATTTAAGCATGCTGCCTCTTGAAAAGGTTGAACATCGACTATTTCTGTTTGGTACGGTGACTCTGTGTATTCCTTTCATGTTCTTTTGATGTTTTCTGCATCATTCAATATTTTGCCCATAGAACCCTTAAATACCACAAGTTGAGGCCTGAATTTTACTGCAGTTCCCACAGAACGTTGAATGTGCTATTTCCTTTTGGTTTTTTAACTCTATGTCTTTGCACAGGTCATTATAATATTTGACTATGTCTTCTCAAGTTGCCCTTTGAAATTTTCAGTTCTGCTCTTATATCTCCTCATTTCTTCCCTTTGCTTTAGCATCTCTACACTGGAGAACAAGTTTTAGAATCTCTTCTGACATCCATTTTGGTCTTTTCCTTGTTTCTAATGTTTTTAATGATCTTATGCTTTCTTCCTGTATGATGTTCTTGATATCATCCCACAACTCTTCTGGTCTTCAATGTTAAGTATCTAATGTATCAAATCTCTTCTTGATATGATCTCTAAATTCAGGTGAGATGTGTTCCAGGTCATATTTTGGCTCTCATGGAGTTCTTTTAATTTTCTTCAGTTACAAGAAATGTGCAATTGATGGTCTGCTCCTGACCTTGTGTTGGCTGATAATTTACCTTCTCCTTCCACAGATGTAGTCAGTTTGATTTCTCCATACTCCATCTTGTTAGGTCCATTTATACAGACATCTTTAATGTTTTTTAAATAGGTATTTGCATTGAGGAAGTCGTTGGTCTTGCAAAATTCTATCATGTAATCTCCAGTAGTGTTTCTACCACCAAGGCCATATTTTCTATCCACTGATCCCTCCTCTTTTTTTGCAATCTTTACATTCCAATCACCAGTAATTATCAATACTTCTTGATTACATTAGATTAATTTGAGACTGAAGAATCAATTTCATCATCACTGGCTTTTGGGGTTGGTGCATAAATTTGAATAATAGTGGTATTAACTGATCTTCCTTGTAGGCATATGGATATTATTCTGTCACAGAGGGCATTTTTCTTCAAAACAAAGGTTGAAATGTTCTTTCTGATGATGAATATGATGCCATTCCTCTTCAGTTGTCATTCCAAGCATAGTAAATGATCTGATTGATTGTTAGATTGAAAATGGCCAATGCCAATCCTCATCAACTCCCTAATGACTAGGATACTGATCTTTATACATTCTATTTTATTTTATTTTATGATTATCATTTTCCCAGATTCATACTTCATAGATTCCATGTTACAACTTTTAATGGATATTTACAGCTGTTTCTCTTCATTTTGAGTTGTACCCCATCAGTAAATGAAAGTCCTAAAGGCTTTAGTCCATTTGTCTCATCATTTTGAGTGCCTTCCAACCTGAAGGGCTCATCTTCTGGTACCATATCTGACAATATCCTGGTGCTCTTCATCGTGTGTCAGTATTCTATATTCTGGTGTTAGCTAACAGTGTTCCACTGCTATTCACAAGGCTTTCAGTGACCAAACATTTGGAAGTAGTATGTCTCTCTTTCTACCTTGTCTGTCTCTATCTGGAAACTCAATTAAAACCTGCTAGTGTTTCAAATACTCATGGTGTAGCTTCCCAGAATCAAAGCAACATACAAACCACTACAGCATGACAAAATGACAGATGACTGGTGGAAATTTTATGTTATGTGAATCTAAATGTGTAACTATA